GGGGGGGGTGCTGCCGCCGCCACCCCCGCCACTGCTTTTCGGAAAGAAAGCCCCCCGCCACTGCTTTTCGGAAAGAAAGCTGACCGTGGCGTTGGTTGGGGGTTGGTTGGTTGGGGGGCGGCGCGCGCGCAAGCTGCGCGGAGAGGGCGAGAACGGCTTGTGAATGGGCGTTGTAGCGTGAGGACTGTTTCTGACAAGCGGCTCAGCAGAGGCACAAGGCGCTCAGGGAGGGGCGAGGTGGGGTGGGGCGTGGGGCTGGTATTTGGGGCACGCAGTATGGGGGCGCCCCGGGGGCGGATCCGCGCGCAAGAGCGGGAAGAGGAAGCAAATAGGAGAGGAATGAAAAGGACAAGACGGAAACGGGCGGCGACAGGGGGCCTCTTTTCGATTCCAACTTTTCGCACGATCGTTATTATATAGGACCACAAAATCCGAAACAGAGAAACAAAAAATAAGAAAGAGATATGAATAAGGACGGAGAAGGATGAAGCCTCGGTTCAGGCACGGAGAGTAAACGTGGTAGTACGTTACGTACCGGACGAGCAAAATCTTGTTTGAATGTGCGTTTCAATGTAGAAAATGCGGGAATGTCGTTGGATTGAAGCCGGAGGACCAGGACGAAGGGGAGAGTGGTCGAGGATCGGAGGGTGGCCTGTAGCCTCTCAGAGGCCCCTGAGGGCTGAAGAGGGAGAGGGGAGTTGAAAACGGCCGTCGCGGAGCGGGGGACGCAGAGAGGTGTAGAATGCGCAGAAAAAGCAGCAGAGGCTTGCACCGCGGGAGAGTTGTGAAGATTGGTCGGAGTCCCCTTGCCCCCATCCCCCTGCCGGAGCCGGAGCAGTGCGGCTGCCCCGCCCCGCCCCGCCACAGGCCGCCCCCAGCGGTACCGCGGGCTCCCCGGTGCAACAACGCGTGCCTCACCGCGCCTCAACGCCTCCGCGGGGCAAGAAAAACACAACAGCAGCGAGATGGGGTGGGGCGGGGCGGGGTGGGGCGGGGAAACTTTTGCCGTCGGGCCTTCGCCAAGCACGCCCCGCGCCCTCTGCCTGCTCTGGTGCGTGGCTGCTATTGGGACTTCCACAGCGCCTTATAATGGAACGGAACTCTGCGCGACTTTGCAGTTAAAATGCAGAGCCATGGCTTCATGCATGAAACGGTAGAAAAATCAGTTTTAAATAAAGCATAAACATTCACATACCTTGACATTATTACTGTGATAAGGGAAAGAGAAAGCCACACCACAACAGCAACCCCCGCGATGCAAGGTGCGGTACGTCAATCGTTCGGCGCCCTCTGGCCATGGCCCTATGCAGCGGCGGCGGGGTGGGGCGTGGCGGGGCGCTCCTCGACTCACTCCCAGCGGGGCGGAACTGAAAATACAACATCATCACCGGCATCATTATTTATCCAGCTAGCAGACCTTCCATCTGCAACCCTTGCACACTGTGTGTATGTGTATGTGTGTGTGAGTGAGAGGAGAGGAGAGAGAGAGAGAGAGAGAGAGAGAGAGAGAGAGAGAGAGAGAGAGAAGGGGAGGTGGAAGGGGAGGTTGTACGTGTGTGTGGCCGCGGGCGCAAAGATCGAGTTTGTTTTGTGTTGGTGTGCGGTACATGCGTCGCTGTGTGCCGCCTGACTGTCAGGGGATGGTTGGCACCCCTCCCGCTCCGCCAGAAAAACGCTCGCGGCGCCCAGCCCTGCCCCGCCCCGCCCAGACCTGTTCCACCCTTTGCCTCTCTCCACCACCCCATCCCTCTCCTCACTTCCATTCTCCTTTCAGACTTCAGCGAGCTCAGCTCGTTTGAGCCGTTCTCCCGCACTATACTATAGCTGGTGCGGGTTTCCTGGTCTTATTTATTTTTTCTTTTTGCGAGTGGATATTCATTTTTCTTCGGTTATCGGGGCAAGGTTTTTTTGTAACCGCGCGTGGGCGGCGTGGGGCTCGGGGAAGAGTGTGGGAGCCACCAAAACAAAAATCAAAAGAAAAGAAAACAAAAAGACGAGGGATAGACGTAGATGCAAGATGAATTTTGTGCTAAGGAATAAACTTGTTCTGCCTATAACCTAAATCATCCGTTAAATGTGATGGGATCAATGATTATTCCAGAAAGTGAGCCCGTAATCTGTTATTGCAAAATACCCAAGCTCAGCGAATGATCCGTCTCATGGCGCCTGCTCGGTAGGCAACATCTTGCCATGCATGCATGCGCGTATTGCGGGGTGGCCTACCCTGAGTCTTGCAGGCGCCGAGCTGTGTTGTGGAGGATTCCAGGAAAAAACTGGGACATGGGACATAAGAATACACGGCACTGATCTTAACATCCGTTCCTCCGCCAAGTCGAATTTGATGTGGTATCATGGTAAAGACCAGGGAAAAGCAAAGGTGCCACGGACAGTGCATGACAAATGCAGCATTGTGTTAAGTCGAGTCGTCTAGGCGGGACGTAAGAGTGGTGCGTCCTTTACAATCCCACTCAAGGTAAATGCTTTCCTCCCCCCTCCTTCTGCGCATCACATCGTATGAGTGTGATTTTCTTTTCCTATTTGCGAAACTCGCCGTATTTTTTCATCTTTTCTCCCTCTCTCCTTCTAAATTTTGTTCTTCCTGGGGCAGCGCTCCTATACA